GGAACCAATTCGACAATTGGGAACCAATTCGTAGTCGTCCCCTAATCACTATCTATGTTTAATAGACAAAATTTAATTTTATAAACAAAATATAAAAATCTGACAAGTTCATTGGGTATTGAATGAACTTTACCACTATAGGTCACTCTAAGGTAGAAAATTTAATGCATAGGATCAAAGGAATATAAAAACAGTGTTTAAATTAAACTTAAAGAAAAAACCAGTTAAATCAGAACATTCGGCTTCAAGTGATTTTATCAACGAACAGAATTTAATTTTAATTTTAATTTATAAACATTTTATCATATTATGTTATATTAATATATATGGTCTATTTTTTTWAAATTTTTTTTAACAGCCCAAGGGCTGGTTGGCAGCAATTCTCCACTCCTGACGCTTCTCCGCTTTCCTTTTCAATTCCCAATAAGATCTGCAGTCCATATCTCTTACTATTTGACTAATKTAGTCCAGTRGCGGTCGCCTTCTACTATTGTTCTCTTCAATGGCACCTTCTATTATCCTGCTAAGTAGACTGTTTTGACGCAGTATGTGTCCAATTAACTTGGCTCTTCTTGTTTTTAAGGTCTTCAGAAAGCTTCTTGTTTCTCCGACTCTTCGATAAACTTCTTCATTTGTTATGTGTTCTGTCTAACTTATTCTAAGTAGTCTTCTGTAACACCATGTCTCGAACGCTAAGAGTCTTTTTTCTTCTATTTTACCTATGGTCCATGTCTCACTTCCATACAGTGCTACGCTCCAAACATAAGCCTTAAGTAAGTTTTTCCTTACTTTTATGTCAATATTTCTAGATATAAACATATTTTTCTTGCTCTGAAATGCACATTTAGCCTGGTTTATGCTGCTTATGATCTCCCTGGTACTACGGCCGTCCTCAGTTATCGTACTTCCTAAGTATTTGTCTATAAATTATATATATATAAATTAATTTCTGCAAATACTCGATTTAAAAATGCATTAAAATTAATTTCATATTTGATCTACCCTTGCATCAGAAATTATAAGAGTTGACAAATACTGACAAATACTGAAAAACGCTATATAAACATTATAAACACATTGCATGACTTAACACTTAAGGAATCTATCGGTATAACCTAACAACCTAACCTCAATGGACATAATTATGATGCGGTTAATAACAAAATACACTCAATAATTATATGTATAAAGAATTTAATATCTATTATAATATAAAAATGATTCGCTATTTACCAGGTATAATCATCACGCTTGAATGGCTCGGCCGATTTAGTTAATTTTTTTGTGTGTTTGTTATTGTTAGGAGAAGGATCGTATGAAAGAAAAAATTGAGAAATTTGCGGGGTTAGAGGAACATACCGTGGTGATGATGAAATTATAGTGGCGTCATCAGTCCAGCGGAAAATAAACTATAAATAATAATAATATTTTTTTATAATCAACGGCAACCATTTAAATAAACAAAATAAATCATTTGCTTATTAATTAATATAAATATGTTTTTGTTTATTATGAGGTTAATATTGGTTGTACAATTTAGTATGGATAAATAAGAAATAAACAATTTGTTGTTATAACTTATAAGGTT